TGTTGAAGGGGAAGGAGGTTTCATTGAAGGTGTGTTTCGGTGTTTACGAGATCGACTGGGGATGTCGACGATGGATTTGGGGGATAAAATCTTGAAGATGAAGTGGTCTGGGTTAGGTTAAAGAGAGAGAGAGAGAGAGAGAGAGAGAGAGTGTGTGTGTGTGTGTGTGTGAGAGAGAGAGAGAGAGAGAGGTGGGGTGGATAAGTGGGCCCATTTTCATATTTTATAATAATAATAATATTAAAAAGTGAAAGAAAAATGAAAAATAAATTCATTAAGGGTATAATAGTCTTTTTAGTTTGGACAGGGACCAAAACTGCAAGCAAACTAGCTCAAAATGACCACAAATCCAAAAAAGTCGGGGTTTGGACTAAAACCCCAAAAAAATGCATACCACAGGGACCATTTTTGCAATTTTGTCGATTATTTATAATAATAATTAGGTCGGTATGAGGAGATGTGGAGCTGTGCATTTGCACGCACCGGAGTCGTGTCATGGAAGGGCCTGAATTTTTTTCACGTATTAGAAATATTGAAATCAGCAACAAGAATTTTTCTTTGAAAATTCATCGCTAAAGGCCAATAGCAACAAATCGGTGAGGTAACCAGCGAGGAAATTAGAGGTGTATTAGCTTGTTGCAAAACATTTTGGAATCGGGTGGCTTTTATCGCTGCTCCATCGTTGATTATTTGTAAATGAACATTTTGTGTTTTTAATTATAATCACTACTAATATAATCACAATGGTCTATTATGTGTCAAAGTTTATCATAGTATTAATAAATTTTGTTTATATATAAAAAATTATATTTAAGGTCTCATTTTTACTTTTCACACGGACCTTCAAAATGAACGGAAGAACCATATGTAAATTGATGTCATTTTGATCACACTAACTTGTTCAAAAGAAACTTGGCATTTATTGTTTGACTCTAACTATTACACCATACCAGATACTAGTCGTATGTATAATGGTATATCACGTAAAATCAGTATTCCATATTTACGAATAATTAGGATCCTCATCCCTATGTGTTTCTTTAGTGTTTGATGTATTTGGATTAAAAGAACCGGAGATCAAGGTCTCCATTTTATACTTGATTTACAATTATTCGTTAAAATATCAAAATGAATAATTGGTCTATCAGATCCAAATGACCGGGTTTTTTTGGCAATAACTTTATAAAGACTTTTCCAACTTTTATATACATTTTACACATTATAAACATTTATAAAAAAATTATAAACCCTTAAATGAAAACGTGTAAATTGAAGTAGTTGTATATCTTAGAAGTATTTTAAATCAGTTTCAAAGAATTAGGAGATCTTTGTTCTAATCTCCTGTATTTATACTCTTGTAAATCTTGTTGATCAATATATAGAAATACAACTGTTCTCATGGTATCAGAGCTAAGCATCTCCTAATTCCATCATCAATACCAAAAAAATTCTTTCTCTTCTTCTTCTGATTTCTGCTATGGCGACAGGCACTGCTAGCCCTCTTAACTTGGCAGCCACCCCTGCTTCTACCCTTAATTTTCAGATCCCGTCTATTACAATCAAATTAAACTGGGATAATTGTGTTTTTTTGTCACACCACAAATGGTTCCACCCTTGAAACCTTCGATCTTAAAGATTATATCATGGATCCACATCCACCTCCCACCATGATTGACATACCAGCGGTTGAAGCTTTTCTTCGGCCACTAATACGCCTCCAACAATTTTCGTTGCTCCTGCCACTACAGGTCCTAATCCTGATTACACTACGTAGAAGATGCGTAACTGATTTGCGCTTTTATGGCTCAAGTCTACTCTATCCGATTGAGCTTTAGCTCTGGTTACACGATCCACCTCGTCTCAAATGGCTTGGCATGCCATTGAGAAAACTTTTCAAGCCTAAACTCAGGCTTGTAGGATGCAACTAAAAGCGCAACTTCAAACTCTTACCAAATGGTCCATGCCCATGATGGAATATACTAAACGAAAGCGTTCAATTGCAGACTCCTTAGCCGCAAACCTTCATCCAATGTCTGATGAAGATCTTATCGGTCATATTTTGACAAGAGTTGATTCGTCATATCGTCTTTTTACCATCACTTTCATGATGAAAACTGATAACTTGTCTATTGACAGGAGTTGATTTGTCGTAGGTTTCTTGCTTCAAGAAGAAGCACAATTGGAGCAGGAACATGTTCGCTTAGCTTTGATTCAACAAACAACAGTTGTACGGTTAACCAGTCCGATGCTCGTCCCTCCAACTTCTCCACTGGTCCGGAATCTACTCCAATCTCCGGTCTCCCGCAATTCTGATCTTCAACGTCGGCGTCCTGTTTGTCAATTATGCAATAAACAGGGACATGAGGGCAATTGATTGTTGACAAAGGTAAAATCAAACAAACTTCCCGTCTCGTAAACCTAATCCTCGAAATCAGCCACGCCAAGCCTATCTAGATCAACACAACAGCTCGTCGACTATTATTGATCCATCCTGATATTTTGATATTGGAGCTACAGATCATGTGTCACCTGACATCACCAAACTCAACATTGTTGACGAATATAAAAGAGACGTCAAGCTGCAAGTAGGCAACGGTAACCATCTGTCTATTTCTCATGTTGGTTCATCTAATTGTCAAGTGTGCTTATTGTTCATGATCTCACTAAAAACCTACTTAGTGTGTCGAAATTAATAGAAGATAATAATGTTTATATGGAGTTATGGCCTAAATATTGTAATGTTAAGACATTTCAGGGACAAACAATCCTCCGAGGGGACGTAAATGATGGTCTCTACCGGCTGCCACACAATCAAAGCAATGGTTTTGAGAAAATCATAATCCAGAATTTTATGATAAAGTCTTTGATAAGGCGATTCATAGTGGAGGTGGGGAGTGATGGTATGATTGTGTAGATAAGTGGATGGTTTAAAGGCATGTTCCCAATATAGATAAAGGTAGAGAGGATTGTGCTAATAAGGTTAAACCTTTTTCAAACATGTTGCAATTTCGTCTTTCAAGTGCACAGTTTTGTTTTTGCGTATACATGCAAGAGACACGGTGTATGATTCCATTGTTTTTGGGAAACGAATATACATTTCGAAACTCACCACCCCAGTCGGTTTGTAAACTTTTAATGTCATATGAGAATTGGGTTTTAATCATAGTTCAAAAACTATAAAAACACGGAAAATACTTGTGATTTGTGTGACAAAAAATATATCCATACAAACTTAGTGCAATCATCAACAAACAAGACAAAGTACCGATTTTCATTTAACGAAAACATAGGGGAAGGACCCATAAAGAAATGTGCGGATACCGGTGAATGTCATAGAAGATGGTTTGGTTCGAATGTGTGGCAGTCAGTAGAGACCCTCATTAATGTCCTCTCAGAGGATTGTTTGTCCTTGAAAAGTCTTAACATTACAATGTTTAGGCTAAAATTCCATATAAACATTATTATTTTCTATTAATTTCGACACACTAAGTAGGTTTTTAGTGAGATCGGGAACAATAAGCACACTTGGCAATTTTAGATTAGGCAAATAAGATGAACCAACATGAAAAATAGACAGATAGTTATTGTTGCCTACTTGTAGCTTGTCGTCTCCTTTGTATTCGTCAACAATGTTGAGTTTGGTGATGTTAGGGGAGACATTGATATGTAGCTCCAGTATCAAAAATACCATGATGGATCAATAACAGTCGACAGGTTGTTGTATTGGACCATATAGGTTTGACGTGGCTTATTTTGGGGATTGGGGCGACAAGAGGAAGTCTGTTTGATTTACCCTTTGCCAACAATCAATTGCCCCATGTCCCTGTTTATTGCATAGTTGACAAATAGGACACCGGCGTTGAGGATCATAATTGCGAGAGATCAGAGATGAAGTAGATCCCTAACCAATGGAGAAGTTGGAGGGACGAGCATGCTGTTAACCGTGAGTGCAACTGCTATTTGTTGAACCGAAGCTAAATGGACATGTTCCTGCTCCAATCGTGTTTCTTCTTGAAGCAAGAAGACTACAAGATCGTCAATAGATAAGTTTTCGGTTTTCATCATGAAAGCGGTGGTAAAAGCACCATAGGACGAATCAAGTCCTGTCAAAATACGACCGATAAGATCTTCATCAGACACTAGATGGAGGTTTGCGACTAAGAAGTCTACAACCGAACGCTTCCGTTCAATATATTTCGTCATGGACATAGACCCTTCGGTAAGAGTTTGAAATTGTGTTTTTAATCGCATCATACAAGCCCGAGTTTGGGCTTGAAAAGTTTTCTCAATGGCCTGCCAAGTCATTTGAAACGACGTGGATCGTGCAACTAGAGCTAGAGCTCGATCGGATAGAGTAGACTTGAGCCATAAAAGCACAAATTGATCACGCTTCTTCCAGGGCCGGTAGTGGCAGGAGCAGCAAGAATTGTTGGAGACATATCAGTGGCAGTGGCCGAAGAAGCTTCAACGGCTGGTATGCCAATCATTGTGGGAGGTGGATGTGGATCCAAGAAAAAATCTTCAAGATCGAAGGTTTCAAGGGCGGAAACAATTATGATGCGCCATAAAGCATAATTATCCCGAGAGAACAATTGTATTTTTGTATATTGATGATGGAATTAGGAGATGATTAGCTCTGATACCATAAGGACAATTGTATTTTTGTATATTGATCAAAAAGATGTACAAGAATATAAATACAGGAGATTAGAGAAAATAACTCTTAATTCTTAGGAAATGATTTAGACTACTTCTAAGGTATACAACTACTTCAATTTACACGTTTTCATTTATGCCTCTAAGCATATTTACGTGTAACCCATTTTACTTATTCCTATTTTTTGATGATTAATTACAGAAATAACCAACCATCGGTGATAAAATACAGTAACAACAAAAAAATACAAAAAATAAGCCAACATATTAAGAACACTAATGGTGATACTTTGCAATTTTGCATCTGATCGGATAGACCAAAATGACTCTTTTGGATTGTTGCTCTTAAAATTTTGTGGTTTCATAATCATTGTGTAATATTTCACAATCTTAAATTTCTTAGCAATATTATCCAATTGTGTCACTTTTTTTTACTGTTTGTGTTCTTACCACTGTGGATACAAGAAGGGTGTCGACCAATGGCGGAGTGACAACTGGACGTTCCTTTCATCTTACTAACTAACTGGGAAAGGACAAGTATTTGTTTCCCATATCTACACTTCTTCGACCTAAAATTATATTAATTTTGATATTTGAATAAGTATTATAAATTATAAATTATAAATAAATAATTATTTAGACGTATATAATATAATAATAATAATATACCTGTGGGAGATTCATCAACTCAAAAACAGCCTTTTGTGGGGTCAACTCATTGTCTATAATCCGTGCCACAGCTGTCAAAACCGGCATTTTAACATTGTACTTTTGTGCCAATGCAATCACAGCTCCCGCAGTTGCCACACCTTCAGCCACCTTAATTTCATAGAAAACTTAAATTTTCAGAAAACCTTAAAAACTACAAAATTCAGTTAAGATTGTAACCTGGTTCATGGAGCAGAGTATGTCATCAAGTGTTTCTCCAGAACCTAAACGAACTCCAACTGTTCTGTTTCTTGACAGGCTGACAAAGCATGTAAGCATTATGTCCCCCGTTCCTGATAACCCCGAGATCGTTGTTGATTTCGCTCCCATCTTAAATAAATATAAATTAATTAATTATATCAAACATAATAACATTTTGAGTAAATTACAAATTTGGTCCCTGTGCTTTACTTAGAATCACAGGTTTAGTCCAAATTTCAATTTTTGTTGGTACTATTTTTGTTGCGGTCTTGATCCCTGAATTGTTAGATTTTTCAAAATGACCATTTTGCCATTGGACCCAACCCCAAAAAAAAACAATGTACCATGACCAAATTTGTTTTAAGAATAATTACAATTTTGATCCCTATGGTAAATTGTCTTTTGGGGGTTTGGTCCAAGGGCAAAATGGTCATTTTGAAAAAAATTTAACAGCTGAATAGTTGAATCTAATGACTCAGGAACCAAAATTGTAACTTACGAAAACCAAATTTGAATAAATTACAATTTTGGTCCCTGTGGTATATTGTCTTTTGATGGTTTGGGTTTGATCCAAGGGCACAATGGTCATTTTGAAAAGTTTAACATCCGAATAGTTTAATCTAATGACTTAAGGACCAAAATTGTAAATTACAAATTTGTGATACGTGATTAATAAAGCAATGTACCAGGACTGAATTTGTTGTAAGAATATATTACAATTTTGGTCCCTTTGGTATATTGTCTTTTGGAGGTTTGGGGTTTGGTCCAAGGGCAAAATGGTCATTTTGAAAATTTTACCAGCTTGAAAGTTGAATTTAATGACGCAGGGACCAAAATTGTAATTTACAAAAACCAAATGTGTAATTTACAAAGATTAAACGTGCAATTTTCAGTAAATCAAGAAGATCGAATTTGTAATTTAGTCTAAATATTTATTTTATAATGTGGGATAGGATTTACTTATTTGCACCTTGGTTGATAACCATCGGATCTCAGAACAACCTTGTGCAACAAGGGCAGCCATGGAATTATTACCAAGATTTAAACCTTCTACAATCCCTGCTGCTATTGCAAGTACATTCTTCAGTGCACCCGCAATCTCCACCCCTGTCACATCACTGTGCCATCAGGAGAGTTACAAATTTAAGATACATGATTAATAATAAAAAAAAAAGTTTATTAAAATAATGTTACATTAAAGTTTGTGATTATTAGACAACAGGTGATTAAAATATGTTTTGGATAAACCAATTTTACCTTGTTGTGCTGATTCTCAAGTTCCTAGAAGCTAGAAGTTGTTGGACTGAGTTTGCTAACTTTTTGTCTTTTGATGCAACCACCATTGCTATTAAAAAATTAAAAACACAAAACAAATTCAAGGCATATTAATTTTAACTATTTATTTTGTGGGTCCCATTTATATAGGTTCTTCAAAAAGGTTATTCTTCTAGCAACCCGTGACAGACACTAAATCCACCTTTTCTTGAAGTGAATGGGACCCACAAAATCTTATAATGGAGAAGGAAGGAAAATGGAAATATGATTTAATGAAAGGCAATGATTAACCTGTAGGCAATTTGTTCATTAACTCAAGTGCAAATGAAGGTCCAGAAAGTGCAACAAATGGTTGTCGAGAGTTTCTTAGTGTTTGTGGAATTATTTGAGACATCATTCTCAATGTGTTTAATTCTAATCCTTTACTAAGGGATATGAAAGGAAGTCCTGGCTCTACATACTCAGCAACACCCTCCAAGAAGGAAGAACTGAACTGCAATGCAACATATATTCATTTTCTCATATTTTCATCATTAAGATCCAATTTCTCATCACATTTATGTAATTTGATATTATAAACTCAGTTAATTGAAACCTGAACTGGTACAGCATGGAGGCAAAAGTCAGCTCCAGTGAAAGCAGTCTTTGCATCGGTTGTTGCTATCACATTTTCTGGTAGCTTGTGGTCTGGAAAATACTTTCTGCAAACAGAGAATTATATTATTATGATTAAGCTAAACAATGTAAAAGAGGAAGCAAGTAAAAATGACACTAAAAAGTTATATGTAGTGAAGAATCAAAATACAATTCTCACCCATTACAATGATTCTGGTTAATAGATTGACAAATTTGAGGATCACGTACGAGCATATTTACTTCCATTTGCATCTTTCTACCTGCAACATGGGAAGCCATTGCTGTTCCAAAAGATCCTCCACCTAGAACTACTACCTAAAATCCATTCAGAAAGTAGATATAACATATAAATGTGAAAAGTGAAAACCACTTGAATTTGTTATTAGAATGGCTTATTTAGAATGTGTTTGAGACTGAATACAGAATCTTATTGAGCAATGTTTGTCGTAAGATAGTGAGTAAAATGATAACTTTTTGTCATTCAGAAACTTAAATAATTCAGACATCTTACTCATTCAGTTTTATCAAAAGACATTTACTCCATTGCCTAAAACTTTCTCTTTATCTTATAGATTATAGAACATAAAAAAGTTTTCCCAATCTTCCTAGTGTAAATCAATTTATTGATCATCTCCTTTCTAGCAGCAACATTAGGCTTCTTTGTGAACTATTGAATACTGGATGCACTATCGAAGTGTAATGAGAAATTCTATACACTAATACTCTCATCAAATTTAACCTTACAAACTACATTCACAATCAATATAACAGATTAACGAAATAGCAATGTTGTATAATCGCTCACAATTTAATATCTCGACTTCTGAGGTGAAAATTAACGAAATAGCAATCATCTCATTTAGCTATGAAATCAGAAAATGAATGTTACTTTGTTCGTGCGTTCGAGAACATCGGTTTTGGCCTTGGACCGCAAAGAACGAGACCACCGGACCAGCTTCTCCCACGCTACTTTGACAATTTTCCGACGGTCTCTGGTGGTGCTGGCAACTTCCAGGGAAACGTTAGCGTCTCCCGGAGGTGACTGGTTCTGCTCCGGCGGAGGCGGTGGATCAACTGCTGCGGCACACACTGTATATGTATGTTTGGATGTAGAGTAGTGTAGAAGAAGAATTGTCTGCCCAAATTTTGGTGCAGGGGAGAAATTATGATGAAGTAGCTTGACTTGAGACGGAGATTGTGAATATGATGATGAATTATTGGAGAAGAGAGAGGTCGACCATGGCGTTTCGAAGAGAGTCGCCATTGTTAACCGTACTGCAGTTTATCCCCTCCACGCATTCCACGTTCACTTGTTTAAAGTTGTTTTCAGAACCTTTTAAACCCCACATTTTCGGATTCCAGTTTCTGATTCGAATTAAGACGGAGGTCCTCAGTTATAATTTACCCCCTCTAAGCTAGAGTAAACTACGAATTCTGTCCCTTAACTTCTTATAAAGTTCCAGTTTCTCCAAATAAGCGCGCTCTTTATACTATCCGATTTTTTCTTTTTGCTTTTTTTAGTTTTTGTTATATCCGATTTTTTCTTTTTGTTTTTTTTTTTAGTTTTTGTTATTTAAAAGTCTTATTCGATTATTCGAAATCGGCTTTTAAAAGATTGGGTCATCTAAATTCATAATTTTCTTTATAACTTAGATTATTTAATCCGAAAAACGTTATAAACTAATCCAAAAAGTAAAAAAAAAAACATATGTCAATGAATCCGAAAATTATAAAGCCTTTTTATAACTTACGAATGTTTTTAATTTTTTTGACGTTTTGTTCGTTTATTTAGGAATATTTTATATAGGCTAATCTTATGGAGTATTAAAAACCCGGATTATCAAAATCTCTAAACAGTTATGCTATAAATCCATATCTCATACAAAAATCCGATATAGACTTGTTTGGATTTAACAAAACTCTAATAGTCTAAAAACTGATTTTACTTTTACATATATAAACTCGTGATAAAAAAAGGCTAAAAATGGTTATCAACTTATTTTTTCCATTTTTTCTTTCCGAAATCATTTAAAATTTATAAAGATAACTAATAATATATATTATTAAGTTTAGCTTGTTAACATTTAATAATATTAAGAGAAATGACTTAAAATGAAAAACAATAATACAAAACTTGTCCTTATGTCACTAAACTTTTAATTGTATCTGTTTTGGTCAAAAATCGACTAAGTGGATATCAACCAAATTGCATGAGAGGTTGTGGTCTTATGACTAATACAAATGGTGAATTGAGAACAAGATAACACGAGAGATTTACAAGGAAAGCCCTTGATCCTTGCTACGATCTCCGACATAAAACCTTGAGCGGTGATAATGATCACATGCCTTGTATGATCTTATTGATTTGAATGTAAATTACAGAGATGATGTTAGAAATACGATTACAAGTGTTTGCCTAGCTCTAGGTCTGTAAGATGTCAAAAGATTGTGTCTGTTATGTGTGTTTTACAAGTGTATTTATAGTCTAGGTTAAGTAACTAAATGTCTGATATTTTCGGGATCCTGCTGAGCTGGTATTTACAACGTGCTTTGACTTGGTATTTCCGGGTCTTAAGTCTGGTTGGACTGATTCTTTGTTGTGAATGAGTCATATGTTGACCATTTCTGCACATGTGAGAAATAAACAAGAAATTATATTCGTTAATCTTGTTAGGAAAATAACAATAGTGATGTTCAGGATCCTGATGTATGTTCAGGGTCCTAAGACTCCTTTAAGATCCGGGATCATGGATAGGTTAAGGATCCTTAGATATCTTTTAGATCCGGGATCCTGGATAGGATTGAGGATCTTGGCTCTAACAATTGCCCCCAAACTATACCTGCAAAATATTTGAATTAATTTCAAGTATTTTAAGTGTATAATTTAATTAATTGGAAATAAAGGATTCGAAATTCAAACTCTAACGGATAGAATTGTATTCGTCAAAAGATATGATTGTGTTGTGAAATCACTTTTTCTCTCCTTGGTTTGAAGGTAAGTTTCTTTCTCCTTTCTTCTTATTTTTCATGTTTGTTGATTATGGGTAAAGAGGCACTCCATTCTCGCTCGAGCATCCTTGATTTTCCGACGAGGACTTCATCGATCGATCAGAGGATCCTGTCTTATGAAGAGACCTACTTTTTTGGTGATGACGACATTGAGTCCTTGAAGTCAATCGGGGCTTTTCATTTTGATGTTATTTTCAAGCCTTTCGATGATAAGACCCAACCTGATTTCATCTCTCTTACTTAGGTTTGGTCCCATCCAAATTATGCTCATGATCTGGAGGATCCTGTTTTAGGTTGATCGATTGAATCAATCTAAGGATCTAGACATGGGATTTAGCTAAGTTGGCCCATGTTTGTGATCTCCAAACTTTTGGGTCTTGTCGTTTCCTGCTCAGAGTCAAAACAAGTAAATCACATCTTATTTTGAAATCAAAACAAAACGGAGGTTCTTGGAAAGAGAAATATTTCTTTGTGAAACGTGAATCCATCCCGTCGATGATCTCCTGCCAAGAAATCGGGTTAGAAAAGGTAGGATTTTATTTTATTTCGTTGAGGATATGAAATTTACACTTTTTTGTTTTATTTGTTTTGATGCAACTTTCAAGTTTGAGGATCTCGTCCCTACTGCTGAAGATATCGCGGAGAGCGTTGGGAGTTTCCTTGTTTCGATTGAGACTGAAGGATCCTTTAGGTTCGAACAGCCCAACTTCTAAGAGAGTAAATCTGCTATTGCCCCCATGTCGAAAGGTAAAGATCCTTTATATGTCTATTTTTTATTCTTCATGAAGGATTCTGAACTTATCGAGTTGCTTTGTTATGTTTAGGATCCAAGGCTACACACTCTAGTGCTTTGTTCACCCTTGTTGATATCAATTCCGCCATGTCTGGTGGCCAACTTGTGGTAAAGAAAGAGAAGACTTCATCTTCTCTTCCTGCAAAGAGAACCACGATAAATCTGACTGTTAATACTCCAGGATCCCGAAAGAGGAAGTCGGCTGAGACCTTGGATTTGGAGAGCCTTGGGGTGGACGAGGCGTTGAGGAAGCTGCTCTCTTTCTGGAAATCTGTAAGGATCTTTATGCTTTTCCAGTTTGATTTTAGTTCACTTACCGTGATCTTTTACAGGTTGCTTGATCATGTTTCTCGATCCACCGAAGATCTGAAGGTTAAGCTTGACTGGGTGGAGCATGCGTTGGAGACCGAGGAATTGATTTCTGATATTAAGAGCAATGTTGTTGAGGTCAACTGAGAGGTAAAGATCAAGCTGACGAAGGATGCGGAGAATGCAGGATCCTAGAACGTGGAAGATTAGCATGAAACCCTAGATAAGTTGACTGGAAAGCTTGTAAATGTTGGTTAGAATCATGCAGAGAAGAAAAGAAAGAGACAGAGTATATCCCAGTTGGGGGTGATCAAACCTTGAATTAAGTTTGATCAAATTTAAAAACAATTTTAAATTGGTCCACTTTGAGATCTCTCCCCAATAACCACTAACTTTCCCCCACTTGGGGTCCGAACTCGAAGTAAATGCTGCTCACAATCGATCACTACCCCATTAGGGCTCAACCAATCCATACCCACGATAACCTTGTTCCCACGCAAAGGAATAGGAACCAAATCGACCGGATACTACTCACTAAATAACTGAAGAGTACAACCCCGATGAACCCTCGCAACCCGAACAGATCGATCATCTACAATCTTGACATCTAACGGACACTCCATCTCCCCGGAGCTCCAACAAACCTCTTGATAAGCGCAAGCGACACAAAGGATCAGGTAGCCCCCAAATCAAACAATACCAATGCAGAAATACCGGTCACAAGGAACGATCCTAAAATAAAACACATAAATATAAGCAATCAATATAAATAAATAAAGAGATAAAGAGAATATACATACTCGTCACCACATCGGGAGCTGAACGAGCCTCCTCGGCTGTCAGCTGAAAAACCCTACTCTTAACCACAAGTGCATCCGCCCAGCCCTGGCGGCCATCCGTAATCCGAAGAGTTGCAGGAACGGGTGCTGACACTGGTCCTGCTGCAGCCAAACTCGGAAAATGGGCCTTCTTGTGGCCCCTCTGATTTCAATGAAAGCAAAACAGATCAGATACCTGGGTGGTGGTGGTGGTGGTAGCGGTGTAATCCCTGCTAATATGACCTGTCCGGCCACACTTTAAGCAGCCCAACCACCCACCCTACACGCTCCCTCATGCACCTTGCCGCACTTGCCACAGCGGCTCCGGTCCTGATGGCCTCTCGTCCTGGAATCAGATATCTTAGGCCTCTTGCCCGAACCCTCAGCACTAGGAACATAATCAGGCTTCCTCTTCTTCTCCATCTCCAAATCAATCTCCCTCTCTCTAGCCCTCGCTATCATATCCTCCAACGTCTTGCAGTTGGATCGGCTCATAAATTGCAGAATGTCTCTCCTCAACATCTCATGATACCGAGCCTTTTTCATCTCCTTATCTGCCACATACTACAGAACCAAAAGGGCCCTCTCCCGGAACATCACGGTGATCTCAGCCACCGTCTTAGTAGTCTGGCGGAGATCTTGAAACTCTTGCGTCAAATGATGCACCTCAATCACCGGTGCGAACTTAGCCCTGAATCTGGTCATAAAATCATCCCAAGTCATCGAATCAATAGCCTCATCACCAACTGCGCACCCGACCTCCTCCTACCAATCTCGTGTCATGTCCTTCAGAAGACAAGAAGCAGGTTTAAGCTTTTCCCCCTCGGGGTAACTGCTGGTGCGGAAGGCGTTAGCAACATCCGCTAACCACCTCCTGTTCGCTATCGGGTCCTTCGCCCAGTGATAGTCTGAAACCCCATATTCCCGGAACTCCATGAAGGTCAATGAACGCGCCCCAACCAAGGCCAACCGCTCATCCAGAATCTCTAGAATGCCCTCCTTGACTGTACCAAAGATCACAGGAGTCTGCTCAAGAATGCAACGCCTAATCTCAGAAGAGATGAACTCCCTCGTCTGATCATCTAGCTGCCCGGCTCCAGAACCTGAGCCTGAGCCCTCTCCAACACCAGAACTGCCAACAGGTATGCCTCACAATGTCACCATACTGAAAATAGACCATATAAACCATCAGAATAAGCATCCGAATATATCGAGGGATCACAATCTCTACCAGCTTCCTTGTTTCATCACAACTCTCCTTGAATTGAGTACGGATCCTTTGCTTCCAGTAGTACGAGCCCATACTACCTTCTACATCTATCCGTAATTTCCTCAAGGATTTTCTTGAATCTGCCAAGTCATTATTTATCCATACAATCAACCCTCATTAGAAAATAGGCTCCCAGCACTAGATC